CTATTTTGCTCAATTTATTGCAAACTTATCCAAAGAATAAAATATATACAATATTCCCTCCTATGTCATTTGTTGTGGTGCTTACGTTTTTGGTTGCTGGTCTTGATACATTTAAATTTTCTTTTGCGTTAAGCCACAATGTACTGTATGTGGTTCTGAAAACAGCGCTGTAAATCCTTCCACTCAATCACCGTGACCTTCAGAGATCAGAGACATGTTGTGAATAAAACTACACTGTTGCTAGGCGCGGCGAAGACAGCCTCACGTGAGTTATTTAGGGTAATCAAGATGCATCTGTACAAATTTAGATGGGCACGCATGCACCGCAAATTGACTTCGCAGTGCAAGACAGAAACTGAGTAATCAGAGCTTGAAATGAACACACAATGTCACATTTTCAAGTCACTAATGCAGCTGATCTTCAATCAGCCTGTTTCCTGTCTAGTCAAAGAGGGAAAACATCTTATTAGGACTTGTCAAGTGTGACACTGAAACTTTTTTTTCTTTACAAAGGGGGTGGAAATTAGATTATAATATCCTTAAGCATAGCTCCTACTATTCTGGGATTTTTACATGTAAAAATTACCAAATCTACTGCCAGTAAAGTACATAATCTGTTATCTATTTTTTCAAACAAACTATATGTCATTTAGACTCCTTTAAATTATCATTAATTACAAAGAATGTTCTTCTTTCATAAATAAACATGCAAAGCCTTAATCTAAATGAAACTCAAAACATCCAAGGCCACATGTAAGATCTAAGTAGTAGAACAGCTGACACAGAAGCTTTACTTTTCCTGTTATTCACACTCATGAACTTCTTGTGGTGGGCTTCAAAATTCACTAAACTGAATTAGAAAATATATCCACAATTCTACAAATCACAAACCCTGGGTTAAATATTAAAATCTAGTTTAACATATCTGCAATAATGTAGTTTGTTTCTTCCCAGCTGCAGGATATAGGTGAGGTATCACATTCTTCTTCTGTTGTACTGTAAATGGGTAATATCATGGGTATATTTTGGTTAAATACTATGCAGCTGCCAAGCAGCCATCACCTTGCTCAGAGTACCCAGTGGTTCATTAATATCTTTTGACCTGGAGGCTATCCATCTGATACACATCTATAACACAGTTACTCACCACACTGCTGTACTGACCGACTACATCAGCATCTAATAAGAGCAACGCAGAAATAAAAAGTTTAAAACTATAATGCAACACTTTTCTCTATTAAGAAAAAAAAAACAAAAAACGCAGTAGCTTGAACAAGGCCACATGTTCCATGTCTTTGCATTGTCCCAGTACACTCACAACAAGCATCTTCTTTCAGTGTATTAAAAGAAACATTGAGAAAACAATCAAAGCAATGAAAACATTTTAGATTTTTGTTTTCGTCCCAGTCTGTCTTGACTCAAACAAAACATTTGATATATAGAGAGAGACTTCTTAAAAAAGAAGCATTAAAGACGTGCACAATTTTGACAGCCATCCCTCATTCGGCTGCATTTTTTTTTTTTTTTGCAATGGTGTCTTGTAAAACTGCCAGCTTGATTTCAGCCCATTCTTGCATGTGACAGGTTTATTTTTGTGCAGTGACGGGTCTCCAGCTTAAACCTGACACCAAAGATGACTCGTTTTCAGATGGGACTCCAATCCAGTCCAAAGGAAGACTGAACGGGAATGTCTCTGTACCTTCTCAAAGGATAACAGTAAATGTATACTGATGTCAGCAAGTTTCAGTGGAACAAAATCAAATTCTATAAGTGCAGCTAAACACTGCACAGTACCTTCAGTAAGTCAATGTGTATTACCTTTTTACAAATGGGATCAGAGATTTTCTTATCTCTTACTTTTCTTATCTGTGTGAAAATCATTGAAATTCCAAGCTTAAGATTAATGTTATGTACATCTGTTATGGTCATGTTTTTTGGGGCATTTTTCATGTATTTCTTTCAAATATGAACAAGAATGCACACTGAGCTTCTTGTCTTACCTTTGAGTTTTATATTCCATAATTTGCGCCTTGTTGTAAACTCCTCAAAAGTGTTTCATCTCTCTAAAAAAGCCTTTGACGCTGATCCGATCTGTCCCCTCTCACAGCTCCAGCTCTCAGAAATCCAAAAAACCCCTCTATGTAGTCCACTGTCAGGTCTCTGAGCAGCAAGCAGGACTCGGGGCTGGAGACTAGACAGAAATAGAGGAGTTGTCCCAGGGAGAGTGTCCACCATGGGGGACCAGAATGAGGACTCGGGCTAGCATGTCGGTCTGTGAAATCCTTTGGTGTCGAGTGTCAGATGGATGAAACAAACAGCCTCTCAACTATTTATAAATCTGGACAGCTACTATTGGCCATTAGCAGCCAGAACTAACTGTCAGTAAACTGGAAACGTATTGCAAGTTTGTGAGGAGGTTGCAAGATCTAAACCAAGAGAAAACACTAACTTCCTGAGGATGTGCTATGGTGCTGGGTGTTTGGGAGGATGTATGGAGGGGCTGTAGCTTGGGTGCCCTTCTGGGAGACAGAAATAACTTGATTGTGTTGCACTCAAGTGCCGCCTTCTTTGTTGAACAGAACTGACAAGCACTATATTAAGTGTCAACAAGTGGCCTCTGGCCACTTTGGTTGAATGAAGCTTCATGTTGGAGACCAAAATGAGGGGATTTTTTTTCTAGCATTGTTGGGCTTTTTTCCCCATCTATTTCCTTTTATTTTTTGTTTGACACATCATGTCTGAGAGGTTAATTTTAACCTGAATTTTCACTTTATTACAGTACTCAAACCATGGCCCGCCTAATCTCCCTGACTACAGCCTCACTCAACCCCCAGCAGAAAAGGCCATAAGGCAAAGGAAGGGGAGGAACTGTACCTCCCCTTTCACCCCCATAGCTCCTTCCCCTCCTACAGCCTGCTGCTATAATAGGAGATTGCTGCAGCAGATAGTTTCCTGGGATTCTTGGCGGGTGCAGGGCTGGCCTGACAGGATGATGGACACACACACATGGGCCTTAATGGAGACGCACTCCTCCGCACATGCCCACACACACACACACACACATACACAGATGGTTTTACGTAGAGCTCACTAAACTTTAGGAAAGGCTGATGTAATCCCTTTTTAACTAATCTCTTTCCGCCCTTCTAAACAGACTCCACCCACACGCCCTTCTCATGCTCTATTTTCCTCTCCACCCTGGAACCAAGTCAGTCGCTGACAATCAGCTGTATGTTCCACTCATATCAATAACAGATGCAAGTTGCTGTCATAATCTTGTTTTGCTATTTACTTTTGGGCCTTTAATCTACGAGTACGGTCTTTTAAAAAATTGTTTTGATTGATAAACTGTCCTTTGTAACATGCCTCAGTAAAAATAATCTGTATGTCATAAACCAAAAGGCTCAATTTCCCCACTTAGGTTAGACATGATGCCGCTCACATCAGTTTCCTGCTCACTAAGTCCCTCTAGTGGGCAAATTTAGATTACAAAACACACAGTTTTTACAGTTCTGTGCAGTAATGTGGACTTTTGATACAAACCTCTCAAGTTTTTGTACAATGCAGCTCTCCAGCTTTGCTTCAGAATAGCTTTATTGAGAAGCTGCCGGGGACTGTGAGCATTGATCACAAACGCTGAGGATGCTTTTCCTTCTGCTGAGTAAGGGGGAGCAGAGCTGTGGTTATGTGGCAAACAGCAGACAGGCACATTACTTGCTGCATTAAGATATGCTTTGTTTGTATAATCTCCATCCAGAAATGAGCCTAATTGATTCTAATTGATTGGGTTATTGGTCAGCTCCGCTGCAGGAATTAAAAGCAGAGACGATACTTTAGCAGGTTGTTTTGGCCCTTCACTGGACGTAGGCCTGAATTCACTTTATGTCTGACTTTGGGAGCTAGGTATGTAAATAGTAAAAATTTAGTGTTGCACCTAATGTCAAGCAAAAGGAGCTGCATGTATGGATGACTCTTTCTTGAGTGTACGGCCTCTTTCTGTCTTACATTGTCTGCGTGCGTCTGTGGATGGGTGCATGTGCGCAGCGTCTCCCTGTATCAGGACATTTTTTCCCCACATCCCTGCAAAAATATTTCATTACTGCAACAAAAGAAGCCCATTAACTGCACTGTAAGAACAGAGTTCAACTGCTGTCCCCCATATTCACCATGTTTGTCTGCTTTTCTGGCCACTCTCCAGCTAATTTGATATAACAATGCTCCACAAAACCGCCTCAGGACTTTTTTTAGGTGACAGAAAATTATCAATGATGCCACATGCACAGCTGAATGTCAACACCAACTTGACTTGTTTATGAAATATTAAAGCAGTGAATTATGGGCACCATGCAGAACTTAATGATGATCGGAGTCATTATAACTTCAGCATCCTTTGTTTTGGCTAATGATTAAATTCCACAACTGCTGTATTCAATTTTGGAGAGACTGAATGTGTTTTTCTGTGTCTTTTGTATGAGTTGGCCGGATTACGTCGTCCATACTGGTACATTTTGGAGAAGAAGCTGGTTTGTATAAGGATATTGTGTTATCATTAGCTGCCATGTCACTGGGCTCAACATCTTTGCTCTGGAGCTCTCTCATGCACTTAAAGATAAAGCATTATATGAAGGCGCAATGTTTTTGGTAATAATATTTGGGCCATTTTTAGATCCAGGAGAGCAGTTGCTACATAATGCAATATTTCTATACCTGCAGTGTTTTATGATATCAAATATGTAAAATTAAAAAAAAATGGCCTCCAGTTGAAACTTTTGTCTAAATTTGGGGATTTTCTCTGAAAATGTAACACGAATGTTTTGTGGGTTCATAGAAATTAAAAATCCTACCAAAAAGTCTTAAAGTCACGATCAGTAAAAGATTCACTTTATTGGTATAGTTTTCAGATATTTACAACATGCACACATAATGGTGTGGAAAAAAAAGAAGAAAAAGATGATCTGTGTACAACCTGGCACGACTTCTGACATTATCTCCCTCTCCTGTGTCACCAGGGTGTCGCCTCATCAATTATTGAACCACTACTTCATGGTAATACATAATTTCTTATCAATTATTCATGATAATGTGTGTGTAGTTTACTTAATTGTGTTATTGACTATCAAAAGTAATTTCCTGAAAATCCTCAAGGACGCAAATTGAATCAGCAACTACTGGTTGTGTGCACTGCGGTTAAGTATTCTCAGTCTGATCAGTCGGTCTTATAGTCAAGAGTCATTCTAGTGAGGGGAGATATTTAAGAATAATGAATCAACAAATATATTGCCCGTGATAAACTACGTTGCCCTGAGGTGATGACAGATGATATTTTTTCAAATGTAAATCCAACATTAACAAATAGCATATATCATCTTTAATGGGGTTTATTAAAAATAAAAAAAAATTAAAAAAGGCTCGCAGAGAGGAAGGGTGAGCGCAAGCGTTCCTAAAAGTAAATAAATAATAAGAGTCACGAATGCTCTCCTCTCCCAGCTTTAAAGGAAACTGATAAATAATGTATTAGAACAGATGGCTGGAGCGAGAGGCAACAGGAGAGGAACATGAGCGAGTACATCTTTAATTGTTTTAAAGAACATGTCACAACAGGACTGGTGTGTTCCCTGTCTGCTGGCACTACAGATGTGCTAACAGAGTGGAAGGGACTACTGCCGCTCTCTCGCTGAGTCTGCTTTAGCCTGCCTGGGGTTCACACATAGTCTGGCACATGTACACATTTACACTTAAAATGCCTGATTAATATTAAAGTGCACTTTCACTTTTAAACTCAAAAGAATGAGAGGCGATTGCTTGACCTGATGCCATAAACAATATATTACCCAAAATCCAGCAAAACTCCTCACTGTCCTGCCAGCCATTTGCACACTTACAGTTTACATGCATTAATGTTTACAACGTAACCACCAGTCCTCCTAATGAAAATGAGAGGAACAACATCAGGATTATTTAAATTCACATTATCAAATATGTCTTTGTCGCACACATATTGTATCTATGTAAGTCCATCGAAAGAGTCCAAGAGCGCATGAAGACAGATAATAGATCCAAAAACCACAGTTGTGCTTTTATGAGGGAACGAGGCCCCAGTTACTGAGCATTTCTCACAATCATAACTTACTGTCAAATAAATAGTTAAATGTTTGCATCCATACAGTGTGATATGAGAAAAGTCCATCCCAGGCTGTTTCTGGAGTCAGTCATTTGTGCTTAGTTTCTCATACAGCCAGGGTCGAGTAGTTACAGCAGGCACAGTCACACAGATTTAGAGTATCGGTACATCCACGTTTGTGTCCAGCGCCTTTACTTTTTCTCCAGTGGTTCCTTAGGGCAGTGAGGGTGCTTGTCAGGACTGCTGCCCAGGACTGGGACCTTGGAGGCCAAGATGGGACTGGAGCTATCTCCCCCTCTTCCAACAGCGCCTGACACCTCAATGGGAGGACCCACCGAGGGTCTTACCACCCCAGCTGCGCTCACGCCGACTCCCGACAGGACTCCCACGCTGGCACCTGGTCCGGTTGCTGCACCAAGCAGGTTAGCAGACTGCAGCACAGCCTCAGAGTGCTCACGGGCCTTCATGCGCAGGGCGGCCACACTGGCTGTGCGGTTACCCTGACAACCATAGGGTGGCAGGAAGGACAAGCCCATGGGGTCCGAAACGCAGCACGAGCACAAGCCATTACCTGAAAAATGAGAATCAGTGGAATTTGTGATAAGACAACTTAAAAAAATAGATCTTCATCATCTTTATTACAATCTTTATTCATCAGTTAACAAAAATCATATTTACCTTTCAGAGTGGCGACCTGCGAGAGAGCCTGGGCATAGGTGGCAGAGTTAAGGAGGGTGCCTGGTAAGCAGGATGGAAAGAAAGGACCACCAGGACCCACTGTCCTGTTGATACTGGAGAGAGAATAAATACTTAATTAAGTATTAGGAATTACTTAATACTTAAATATCCAGGTATAACTTTAAACAGACAATTTATTCTAGTAATATATATTTAGAAATATCTACAGCTATTTCCAAAATACACTAATAAATTAGAATTACTGACTAATGATATGGAGCTTTCTCCAGAAGTTAATGTTGGCTATCAGAGTTTTGAAAAAAAAAATTCTAGTCTGGCCGACAGTGCTTCACAAATTTCCCCTTTAACAGGACGCTGTTTCACTAAGATAACTGTGACGACGGTCGTCTGTCTGTCTCTTCTCACCTTGGCTGCATCTCCAGTGGTTCTTTCTGTTTTCTGCCCTGGTCCACTGGGGACTGAGAGTTGATGCTGCGAGATGGAGGAGTTCCCTCACTCATCTGCTCTTTCCCTCCTTCAGGGTCCGAGCTCCCTCGCTCTGTCTTCCTCCACTTTGCTCTGCGGTTCTGAAACCAAACCTGCATTTGACAAAAAAAATAATATTAATTAAAAATGTGAAAAAATAAAAAAGTACAACAAATTTAATTAAACCATAAATTAAAACTGGAATTCTAATCTACCTTGCATAATATTGAGAGAAATTGAAACTACATTAAATATATATTCACATTTTTTAAAATCTTGTTAACAGTAAAGTTAAAAGAAATATTCCCTACTTCCTTTGTTCTGTGACCTCTCTTATCAAGAGGCATTTGAACCTGTCAAAGCAATGCTCTGATTTCCCACAGTCCCTGACTTAGCCCCAAAACCTTCAGCATCCACAGAGCTGAGAGCACATATAGCCAAGTTCTGGTATCTTAATCGAATGAAGGTCAGTGCCTATAACAACATTTAATTGAGCAATTTTTCATTATCATATTTTAATGACTTCCCACTGACAGTTGTGCTGCCCAAGAGAGAGGCGGCAATGATGAAGTCGTTTATTTCCCTATTTAGTGATTGTTTGACAACATCAGATTCGATTAGGACTTGGTTCTAGCAGGCATTAATCATGATGTGTGAATGGAGGTTAGAGTCGGTGTGCATGTGCTCTGCATCCCTGCTATTGTACCGGGGGTATAAATGATGTCAACAGCCAAACAAAACACATGCATTCATTCGGCATAAAGAAAGGACAACATTTTGGTGGCAGGACAACAATACAGCCGATGGACTTATCTCACCCCTGCACCTTCCAGCTAGAAGTCGCGCCCCCCCACACACACCCATCTCTGAATGGGCTATAATTGCTCCATTAATCTCAATTTGCGGCGTGCTCTTAATGCGGGGGAGGCCCATTGACACTTTACACAAAAAAAAAAAAAAGGGGGGGGGGGGCAACAACACTACAACAGAAAGGAAATTTATTTTCTAATAATAATGTAAGTTTAATATCCCTGCATACTGCGGTGGATTCATGTTCAGATTTAATAATAGGAATGTGGTAATCGGATTAGGAGGGGAATAATTTGTTTACAATCCCTAATTTACAGCGCTGGATTCCATTATCAACCCAGCCATTGGGTTTAAGCGATAGTAAGATGACCCTGGGGAACAAAAGGCAAACTATTATATTTCCCACAATTAGATCTGCGCGCACAACAAAACCCAAAAGCAAATCTGGAATGCAGGAAATTACATACAGGACACATAACTTAATTACATCTGGCCAAGTTTATAACCGCGCATATGTGCAGGGCAGGAGCGGAATATAAATTGGCACATTTAAGGTGCATGCTTGCCCATTTTTTCTTTTATGTACGCGCGCGTGTGTGTGATAGGATCAGGGAGATAGGAAAAGGGAGTTGTGGAGGCTACGGACTTTGCCCTCTTTTAAAACACGTTTTTTCTCTCTCTCTTTTTTGGCTGTGTCACGAGAACGAGATCTGCGCGGATGATGTATTCCTACCTCAGAGACGCGGACAAATTAGTGAAGAACATTATCGCTGGTTAATTATGAATGACCGATTAATCAAGCTAATCTAATATTCACCATTATGTTGATGTTATTAAAGTGCATAGCCGGAATGACAGAGTGCCTTAATTTACCCTCTCTTGCATGGTCAAACGTGCCCAGGACACACTACTGCTGCAGCCATACCTGCACCCTGGCCTCGGTCAGGTTGATCTTCATCGCCAGCTCCTCCCGCGTGAACACGTCCGGGTAGTGGGTCTGGGCGAAAACAGCCTCCAAAGCCTCCAACTGCACATTGGCAAAAAACAGAGGGCAGACTTTTAATTATTAAAATGATTTGCCAGTTGATTTGAATATAAGCAGACTATTCTCTTTCTTTCTTTCTTTCTTTCTTTCTTTCTTTCTTTCTTTCTTTCTTTCTTTCTTTATTTTTGTGAAGAGACATAGTGAATAACGCTAAATAAAGATGTTAAAGATTAGCCTGTAATTGTAAGTACTTACAGTTAAATACACGCGTGACAATCCACAATTATAATAAAATAATCAACAGATCTTTCGTCGTCTTCTATTTTCATATGATTTTATGGCATCATTGCCTCTGGGCTTTTGGAAATAAATTTGCGATAAAGGTTTAATTTTAATTTTATTTTTTATGTCTGTGGCGAATATCAGGAAAATTCCCCCTGCCTTAAAATAGAAAACTTGCCCAACTTTGTATTTATTTCCTACTCCTGATGAAAGCTAGAGCGCCCTACACCTGCTTTGCTTTAAGAGAAGTTTCAGCTAGGCCCCTTTCTTTTTCTCTGATTTGCATATAGCCTATATATGTATTTTTTTATTTGTTCTGGTAAATAATTACCTGTTGCAAAGTAAATGTTGTTCTGTTTCTGCGCTGTTTCCTACGTAGAAATCCATCGTCAAAATCAGTTGGGGCGTGGTTGCCAAATCCGCCTGAATTCACTGAAAAAAGAGAAAGAGTGAGGGAAATTGGAAACAATTCAATCACTTAGAAAAAAATAATACTGCTTTAATAAGTTAATAACTTCATGATGTATTTAGGTAAGTTCAGTGATAAAAGTGATAAAAGAAAGGCTATAAAAATACAAATTTTGGCCAAAGCAGGCACATTTTGTGTTTCCATTAGTTGCATGAAACATTGACGTTAGGTGTCTAAGGGGAACCATGACGGACTAAAAGCCATGACACCCAACATCTGTGCCCGGGACAAAACGCCCCTTCTGCCCCGGGGCCAAACCACCAGCTCTTCTCACCAAAAGAGAGCAGAGAGAAAATCAGACTTAACCCTTTACATCCATCGCTGAATTTGTGGGAGGAAATATACCGGCTGCTGTTTTGGACTTATATAAATATTACCAGAGATGCAATAAGCAACCAACACTTTCAAGTTAAAATTTGAAAAGAGTGTTTTACATGCGATATTCAGATTCACAACCGAAACCGTTTGACTTACCTAGTTTTTAGTTACATATTACCACGACATAAAAATACATTTTATAAGTCAGTGTTGTTTTAATTAACAATTAATAACAACACATTGTGTTAAATGATTATATTATAATAATTTAGAGAAAGTAATGATAAATTCGGGCCCATTCTCAAGTCTCCGACAGCACACACATTTTACGCGCAGAATCACCGCGCGCTGTCTAAACATCACGAAAGTTTACAAGAACAACTTTAAGAGTAACGTTAGAAATAATCCGTAGCTGGAAAAACAGCGAGACAGCGAACTTACGCGTGTTGGAGCGACAGCACTCTCCGTCCAGCTGAGGTGGACAGTGGAAGTAGAACATCTTTGCGCGCTTAAGAGACTCCGAAACGGAACCTGGAACAAAGACAAAAGTTTCAGCTTAAACCCACAGACCTAGAGTAATGCAGATTTGTGACGGGAGCAACAAAAACACTCTTAAACCGTCAGCAGAAGATATGGAACTGCGCGGGATTTGGCGAGATTCAAAGTTAATGTGTGAGAGCATCCTACCTGCGGTGAGGATGCTGATGTGAGTGAGTTAGCGCTTCGGAGAGAAGTGGCTGCTGCACTTCCACCGACTCTCTGACTCTCTGCCTGGGAGTGTCCAGATCTCTCTGTCTCTCGCTCCCCCCACACTCTTTCTCTCGCTCCTGCAAACACACACACTCACACGCACCCCCACACACTACTCACTTCTCTCTCTCTGTGTCTGTCTCTCTATTTCTCTCTGGGAGTGTCCAGATGTCTCTATAACTGTATAACTGTCTACAGAGTGTTAAGGCTTTCAGCTAGTGTCGCAGAATCTCACGCCTAATTGGTCCTAATCGGATTATCACGGCTTTGTCTTTCTCACCCCAACCCCTGGTGTGTGGGTGTGTGTGTGTGTGTGTGTGTGTGTGTGTCAGAGAAAGACAGAAAGAAGGAGAGGAAAGACATACCCGGGGTGGCAAACGGCAGCTCTGCTCTGGTGCCAAAAAAATTCATCACAAGTGATTGTTATTCCAGAGTCAAGCATATTCCCTAACCATAAACATGCACACATACCCACTGCACTTTTTATTTGGTTCTTTCATATATTAAAAAAAGCAGGATGACTGCTTTTGGGTTTTAGATTGACTGTCGGGTGGTTTAATTGCTCGTCAGGGTGTGTTAGGGGGTCCACTTTACAAGGGTTTGCGCATGTAGAACACTCACAAGGCCAAATTTTTGATTTTGTTCACAGCAAGGGGTCCAGCGATTTATTTCGCTTCCTCAGATAAATGATCTGCTGCGGGACCCTTTCAATTAGTTTTAAAGCGCATCTGGGACGGCAGAGCGCAGACGCCATGCGTCTCTGAGGTGGAGGCAAAATGAGGCTTCGAGAAGCAGCTGAAATTTAGAAGAGGAGTGCGGGATTGGACTAAACCACATAAAGTGCAGAAAATCCCTTCTAATGGCGCGTAATTGGTTCTGTAATATCATTACAGGCGGATAATGGCCAGTTACAGGGCCCCGCGCTATTAAGGGTTTCCCTGGCGTGCAGCGTTTATGTTATTAAAGGGGGAATATAATGATATTTTAGTTATTAAATGCGCGTAATTAATTTATGCACCACTGAAAATAAAGTTGTTATTATGACCTCGGTGAGGTGCGTGGAGAAAATTGAAATCAAATAACGGTTGATAACTTTATCCCAATATTTGGTCTAGACAACTCTTGACAAGAGTGCAGGCCTTAAGAGTGTTTGTGTGTGTGTGTCTGCGTGTGTGCTTCCTGTCAGCGCCTTTCCTCTCCATCCTCTGATGATTGCTTAAAAGACTAAATGCAATTACTCATCTCATCTCCGTAGGTCGAGACACATTTACAAATAAACTTTAACTAGTTCAGGTTTTGCAGATTTTGCATAAAACGATTAGGCCTGCAGAATTTTTGGCCGTCGACTATTTCAGGACCCTGGTCAGCACCACAGTTAAATAAAAGGTATGTCGTTATCGTGTTATTTTAATGTCCTCACATTTATCTGTGTTCTTGATTCAAAACTGTCCCACATGTCTTTTGTAACCTTCAAATAGTTTGGCATATATTCATAATCATACATCTTCCTTTACATCTGTGTATTTTTGAAATAACAAAGCCAGAAAAGCAGCCATCAGATTTACTGCATACAGTACATGCAAGATATGGGATTGCATTTATTTTTTTAATATAAAACACAGTTTTTAAAATGCCTCCAAATAACAGAGAGGCAATATTAATTTGTTTTGAAGTGACCAAAAACCTCTACAGTGTACACGAAAGTTTATTATAAAATCTACAAAAACCTTAAGTGAGGTATAAAATGGCACCCTATTCTTAAACTTAATAGAAAGTTGGTATAATCTGACATCGCTGAGGTTTTTGAAGAACACAGTTTGAGAGTAAACACATATCTGAATATGATATTACACCGTTTTAGTCAAATCAAAGTAAATGAATTCAAGTATCACCAGGTACAAGCAACAATGAAAAAACAACAACAGAACAACCGCCAAACTCAATCACAGAAACTACCTTCAAGACTTGCTTAACTAATTATGACTTCATTAGGTAACCCAAGACTGTACGGCAAAATGTCTTTCCTGAACACAAGCAACACGAAGGTTGCAAGACAACGACTGTAAGCTTGAGCTTGAAGGGGTGTTTAAATGTTCTTCCCTCAGCGAAAGCTCTCTTTGAGTCTCCAGATGCCCTCCTGACCAGAGGTCCTATGAAAGTCACAGATACTCCTGAGTAGCTCTCTGAAAACAGGAGCCTGTTCCTGGGTCAGTCTCGGTTTGAAATACTCGAGCACTTCCTGGGTGGTGGCCTGTCCGTCCACACTCGCCTGGAAGGCTACAAAGTTGCGCAGATCCACCAACAGCTCATCGTGCTCAGTGGGCGGAGCAGCGGGAAGACTCCCTGCAGCTCCCGAGGCATCCTCCTCCTCCTCTTCTGGTTCTTCTCCCCTGGAGGGCATGCTGAGGTGATTACGGGCCTTCATCCGGGCCAGCAGAGAGGAGGATGACAGCGGGGTGGAATTCAAGTCACTTTCTGCACCCTCCCCACTGAAATGAGCTCCCGAACCTGGTTTCTTTGACACAGACTTCTTTATAATAGCAGCATCCTAAACAAAAGAAATCAATGAATACACCCAAAATGGCATCAGAAATGAAAAAACACAGAGTAACATCTTTTAATGAGAACCTGGCCATTACCTTGCATTTGGTTGAAGTGGGAACAGACTGAACAGAAGGTGTAGCTAAGAGAGAATTCTTCTTTTGTCCAAAGCGTTTCCTGAGAAGGCAAACAAGAGAATGACTTAAATACATTTGTATTTGTTTGTTCTAAATTAAATTAGTGAAGCTCTAAAAAAAACAGAAAAAGACAAAACCCCACCGTGTCAGTGTGAGACTACATACTTTGCAGGGGCAGGAGGAGTTTTGAAGCGCAGTCTGCACTGCTGCCGGGAAATTTTAAGAGCTTTAAGGGCATCTTGAGCCACCTTATTGGCTTCTGCTTCCACAAGAACATAGTCAGGATTGGAAGACTCTATGATGGTGTCATGCTGCATCACACTGTGAATACCTGAGAAACACCATGGAAGAAAAGAACAGCACATTTAAGAATAAGAAAAAGAAACTTGCCATTTTGCAAATCTTGTATATAAAAATGTCTGATACTGCAGACGGTACAAAACAAACAAACCAACCAAAAAAAATTTCTACCAGATTTCTTGAACAGCTTTGCCAAGACATAATCGTCTGATTTCTTCTGGTCCTCTGCTGCATTGTCTTCGCTCTCGGATTTCTTATATGTTCTTTTCTTTACCAAATGAGAGATGCGGTGGCCTTCGAATCGAGCATCCCGGGAGCGCTTGTGTTTCTTATGTTTGCGTTTGTCCAAGTCACAGTGTTTCCTCTTCTCCCTGTGTTTCTGTGGGCTGGTCCGGGCAGAGTTTTTGTCTCTGTGCTGGTGAAAACTGGCTGAGTTTGAGGTATTTGTGTCTGGTTTGGCTGCATCACAATCGCTGTTTTTATTTTGTCCCGCAGGCGCTATATCTACAGCATCCTGGTTGGTGCTTGGACTGTCTATTGGGACATTTTGTTTACCCTGAGAGTTTTTACTGCATGGAGAGGTACTTCCGGCCCTTAATGCAGGAGTGTGCGTGCTGTCTGGACCTGTATTAATGCAGGTTGCTGAGGAGTGTTTAGGTGCATGGCTGCTGTGATTTACTTTGTGTGATGGCTTTGGCTTTTCGGGTTTTTTGGGCGCTTTGATGTCAGAACCTGTGCCTGTTATGAGGGAGAAATAAACCAAATTAAATAAAATTAAATCCCTCAAGCTTATTTTAACAACCCAATAACTGGACAATGAAATGTTTCAACAGACCTGCAAAAATAGCACTTGTCTCTGTTCCCTGACCTCCATCTGGATCAGCTAGAGTAAACAGCTCATAGATGTCATTTGACTTGAAGAACCGTCGCTGTTTGGGATCCTTCAGTACTCGATTGGTTAGGAACTGTTTGAAGATTTGCCTGAATTACAGCAGATAAAATACAGAATTACATACTTGAATGCAAGCTGCCATTTCAGCTCAGCATGCAGTCCTGATCCCCTGTCACCACAGAGTAGTTTGGCTGATGGATGAGCACATTAGTTAACCTCACCACTGTAGGTATCAAAACACTATGCCTGCAGTTTTTCCAACTTGCTTTCTGAAAGCACTTTACAGACAAAAAAACAAACAGAGCAACAGTTTAGAAGTCCTCAATTGGCCATTTAATAATGCAGGAATGCTTTTCAATTACCTAGAACCGGGACAGTGCAAGTACTAATATAGCAGTGATGTAAGCAATTAGTCATGTCATTGCCAATACTCATGAATGTGTGAAATCAACAGAAAGAAAACTAAAACAAAAAGGCTCGGTGAGAGGAAACACAATGGCCAACAGAGGATTTTGTTTTTGCAACTGAATATTATCCTTATAAAGTGCTTAGAAAAGTAAACTGCTGTCTGACCTGTGGTAGATTTTCTCTTCAATGGTCCCAGCAGTCAGCAGTCTATAGATTGTTACTTGCTGCTTTTGACCGATCCTCCAAGCCCGTTCGCGAGCCTGCGAGCAGCGTAACACATTCAGAGCAAATGATTAAACCGAACATTCAGTGAGAAAGGAGGAAAAGCGATGTTACAGAGCAGCAGGTGAACCAGGCAACAAGAAATAGGAAACGCATGAAAAGCTGGCATCCAACAAGAAAAAAAAAAAAGTAGGCAATTTAATGTGACAAATCACAACTCTAACGAACATTAAGACTCACATGAGAAATAATTCACTGAGTCAATGTTTTTAATTATTTTACGTGTGGCTGTCTAACCTGTGTGTCAGTACTGGGGTTCCAGTCTGGGTCATAAATGATGACTCTATTGGCTCCAGTCAGATTGACTCCCAGACCTCCGACTTTAGTGGTCAACAAGAAGATAAAAATGGATTTGTCCTGAAAAAGAAAAGAAAAGAGAGAAGCAGAGAAAATACTGGTGATTAATGAACCCAATCTGCAATTTCATACTCTCTTTGATAATCACTT